GAAAGACTTGATCTAGCTTGATTGAGTTGAGCATACATAATACTTACCGGGTATGTCCTCCATGTGTTATCATAGTGGTACAAAACTTCTTCTCCTCCAATGTACAGAGAATTCGTGGTGTTCAGGTAGAACATAGCATTTGGTTGCTCCTTGGGCAATGTCAACATCACATTATCTGTTTACAGAAAAGTTGGGTTTAATGTTACTTGGCCACCAATACATTTTTGTGAAGTTACAGCAAAGCACACAGTAAAGCAAAGCTAGAATTATTTACAATTACTTTTCAATTTCATGTTTTTAGCAGTGAGTGGTTTAATTATTTTATGAATATGTGTGTATTTAACAACAAATGACCAATTAAAACATTGAAAAATAGAAAACCATGTTATAGACACAAGGTGGCTGTCTTGAAAGTGTAGTCCTTTTAATTCTGCCCACTGTTTGGATTAGAGTTTCTGTCAGTTGTTAAATGCTGTCAATGTCCCCAATGAGATTTCTCACACTTCCACTATTCTGCCTGACATCCATCATTAGGAAGTGGGATAAAATTTACACACTTGGCACAAAAACAGCAATAAAATTGAGGCTGGAGTTTAACCACTTGCCTACCAGGCACTTTCACACCCTTCCTGCCCAGGCCAATTTTCAGCTTTCAGTGCTGTCGCACTTTGAATGACAATTGCGCGGTCATGCAACACTGCACTCATATGAAATTGTTATTTTTTGGAGACAGTTAGAGCTTTCTTTTGGCGGTATTTAATCACCACTGGAGTTTTTTATTTTTTGCAAAAACAAACTCAAAAAGACTGAAAATTTTCAAAAAAAGGTTTTTTTTTTTTTTTAGTTTCTGTTATAAAATTTTGTAAATAAGTAGTTTTTCTCCTTCATTGATGTGCGCTAATGAGGTTGCACTGATGGGCACTGATAAGCGACACTGATAGGCACTGATGAGGAGGCACTGATGGGCATTGACAGGCATTACTGATGAGGCAGCACTCATATATGGCACTGATAGGTGGCACTGACTGGCACTGATAGGTGGCACTGACTGGAACTGTTAGGCACTGATGGGCACTGATAGGTAGCACTGACTGGCACTGATAGGTGGCACTGAAAGGCAGCTCAGATGGGACTGATAGGTGGCATTGGTGTGCACTGCTAGGCACTGATATGTGGCACTGATGGGCACTTGCAGGTGGCATTTATGGGCACTGACAGGTGGCACTGATCATCAGAGCCCTGATGATCAGTGTACATGTCCCCTCTGAGAAATGCCGCTTACCGGCTCTCCTCACGAGCTGTCAGCGTGCGGAAAGGAATGCTGATAGTGCTCCCTGTTCACTCCCTACTGACACTGTCCACTGCCCCCACAAAATGATGGTGAAGAAAATAATACAAAAATAAATTGTAAAAAAAAAATTAAAAAATAAAAGAATTCAAACATCCAAGCCATTGCTCTATTGACACCATCCACTGGCCACTCAAAAGCATTTTGAAAAAATGATAAAAATAATAAAACATTGAATTGTAAACAAAATTATAAAACTGTAATAATAATAATAAAAAAAGATCTACTGACACCATCCACTGCCCTATTGACACCATCATGAGTTGTCAGTCCGCCCCTGGGGGTGCCATTCAAAATGAAAAACGGACATATGCATTAGTGCAACACACCTGCAACACACCTGATACAATTTTCCAAAAATGTCAGCAGCTTCCACTAATAACCACAAACAAATGTGTGGTGCTGCCTTTTTAAATATAAATATATATATATATATATATAGAGAGAGAGAGAGAGAGAGACACTTCATTTGCACAAATTAAGATTGTATTATTTAAGATCTTTACTTTTTATCTTTATTTTTTTTCAAATTCGTGTGTGTGCGCGTGTGTTATCTACAATTTTCCAAAAAATTACAACTGCCACTAATACCCAAAAACACATATCACAAATAATTATATATATATATATATATATATATATATATATATATATATATATATATACACATATATGTAGTGCTGCTTATTTCACGGGACTAAGATTGAGCTCTGCAGTTACTTTTACAGCAGTTGTTTTCTTATTCTGGGTCACAATCCTGTTCAATGTCCTTTTTATCTCTTTCGGTCAGTTGAGCATGTCGACCGCACTTATCAGATGATGTTTTCCTGGAAACTGTATCTGTCGTCATAACATTTGATACTGTACCTCGTGACACAGAAAATAAATTGGCAACTTCAGTCATAGAGGCACCAGCTAAGCGCGCACCAACAATTTGCCCTCTTTGAATCTTCAGTGAGATCTGACATGACTTCATACTACTAGCAGTGAATTACAAAAGTGAGGCTTCCCATGAGTTTGCTAGGGGTCTCATCACACAGCGGAAGCAAAAGAATGTTACATCAGTTCTGCTTTCAACGCAAAACATGTGGTCACTCTCGCACCTGCAAATCTTGTGGTGTTTCCACTTTTTTGTTTAACCCCTGTATATGTATACTGTATATATACACACATACACAGTATATATATGTAGTGCTGTCTCTTTAAATATATATGTGTACACTGCTCAAAGACACCCCGAAAATCAATGTAAACAAATGATGTAGCAGGCTAGTCCATTTTCCTGAAATTTCATTGCAGCAAGTCAGAATGGTACTCAGTAGTTTGTATGGTCCCCCGAGTGCTTGTATGCATGCCTGACAATGTTGGGGCATGCTCCTAATAAGACAACAGATGGTGTCCTGGGGTATTTCCTCCCAGATCTGGATCAGGGCATCACTGAGCTCCTGGACAGTCTGAGGTGCAACCTGGCGGTGTTGGATGGACCATGACATGCTATCCCAGAGGTGTTCTATTGGATTTAGGTCAGGCGAGCATGGGGGCCACTGAATGGTATTAATTCCTTCATCCTTCAGGAACTGCCTGCATACTCTCACCACATGAGGCCGGGCATTGTTGTGCACCAGGAGGAACCCAGGACCCACTGCACCAACGTAGGGCTGACAATAGGTCCAAGGATTTCATCCTGATACCTAATGGCAGTCGGGGTGCCATTGTCTAGCCTGTAGAGGTCTGTGTGTCCCTCCATGGGTATGCCTCCCCAGACCATCACTGACCCACCACCAAAACAGTCATTCTGAATGATGTTACAGGCAGCATAACCTTCACGGCTTCTCCAGACCCTTTCACGTCTGTCACGTGCTCAGGGGGAACCTGCTCTCATCTGTGAAAAGCACAGGGCGCCACTGGTGGACCTGCCAATTCTGGTTTTCAATGGCAAATGTCAATCGAGCTCCATGGTGCTGGGCAGTGAGCACAGGGCCCACTAGAGGACGTCGGGCCCTCAGGCAACCCTCATGAAGTCTTTTTTCTGATTGTTTGGTCAGAGACATTCACACCAGTGGCCTGCTGGAGGTCATTTGTGCTCATCCTGTTCCTCCTTTCTCAAAGGAGCAGATATCGGTCCTGCTGATGGGTTAAGGACCTTCTTTAACCCTGTCCAGCTCTCCTAGAGTAACTGCCTCTCTACTGGAATCTTCTCCATGCTGTCCAGACTGTGCTGGGAGACACCGCAAAACTTCTGGCAATGGCATCTATTGATATGCCATCCTGGAGGAGTTGGACTGCCTGTGCAACCTCTGTAGGGTCCAGGTATTGCCTCATGCTACCAGTAGTGACACTGACCCTAGCCAAGTGCAAAACTAATGAAAAACAGAAAAGAAGAGTAGGGGAAAAATGTCAGCAGCCATCACCTGTAAAACCATTCCTGTTTTGGGGGGTCGTCTCACTGTTGCCCATGTAGTGCACCTGTTGTTAATTTAATTAACACCAAAGCAGCTAAAACTGATTAACAACCCCCTCTGCTACTTAACTAACAAGATCAATATCCCAGGAGTTTAAAAAGTGTTTTTTTTATTTTTTTGAGCAGTGTATATAGCATTATGTTTTATGCAAAATATAAAGGAAAATGCAAAATGAAGGAAACATGCTGCCTGACACTCCCTTCCAGAAAGTACTAAAGCACAGAGGATAGCATATCAGGCAGGTCACTATCATTTTCAGAAGGTCTATGATGGCAAACTGCTTATGTATGTGTGGTGTGGCAGAGCTTTGTAAATCTCAGAACTGGATGAGCAGAAATACAAATCCTTTGGCAGGAAGAACAGCTTCCTTTAAAGTGTATGTTACCCTCATTATTTATTTGTTTTCTTCTGTATTTTATAAATCATAGTCTATAAATCCCATGTACTTCTTTCTGCCAGTCACCTTTCTTCCTTGTTCTAAAACTGACAACACAAAGCACAGAAGCTGATCTGTGTTAATGTAGTCAGTTTTCATCCTTTCGCTTGCCATTCTAAGGTACAGGACACTGTGCAGACACACAACATGCCTGTATTGAATAGGTAGTCCCTGTAGAGCTCAGTGAGAAGACCTCTGAGAACTGATTTGGGGGAAAGAGACACACCCCCTTCACACAGCACACAGAAAACAGAGCTGTGGCTATCAATCATATGCTGTGTGCTAGCGCTCCCTCCTCATCACCTTTTTTACCTCTTGGTGTCAGGAAACCTTGTCAGAAGTGATTATGTGAATAGCATAGAGGAACAAGACAGCACAGAGAAGTGACAGTGCTCTAGACTGAAACAAGTACCCACTGTAGAGGGATATGCTTTGTTCATATTTCGTGTCAGATGTTTACAACCACTTTAATACTTATTGATCAGATTTACATGAGATGGTCATACATACAGACACAAACTCACCTATTTTAGAAAATGTGACAACAACTATAGTATCCTTTAAAGTGTTACTAAACCCAGGACCCTGCATTCATTATATCTGGTCTCCCACAGTACACACAACATGGAAATGCAATTATTTTAGTAAATATAAACTGCTAAATATCTTTTCTCATCAGCAGTTAGAGCAGTCTTGTGACTTTTATCAGTGTCCAGTCGAGCATTGGTTAAAGTCTGTAGGAATATTTTGTTTCTGCTCTAGGAGAGGATGCAGAACCACTGACCTCTGTCTGGACACTGCTGATGGGAGAGTGCATGTGATCAGCACAGGGCCAAAGAAAAAAAGCCTCTCTAGCAATACACACCAAACTGAGCATGTGCAGAGTGACTCCACAAGATATGTCTTATCAGGAGATAAAAGGGGACACTGGAAGAAGAGGAGGATCACAGAAGTCAAGATCAAACAGCGTTTTTATACAATGCAGTGGATTAACCCCTTAGATTCCACAGTGAGTATAACAAGCATGCTTTACTGTATATACAGACTGATTTTACTGTTGTGGGTTTAGTAACACTTTAAGCTTTTCCTTTCTAGCAACTTATAGAACTTATTTTAGTCTTTAGATAAAGCTCTAGTGTTACAGCAGCCTAGTATATTCTGGTCTTTTTTATGCCAGCACTGCAGTATCACTTGGTGATGTGGCGAGTCCCATAAGTACAGTACAAGCTGATGAGGTGGCGAGCACAAGTAGTGTCCTGCAGCCAACAAAAACTTGCACACAGGCCCATAGAGCCCCTAGTATCCTTCCGGATGTGCTTGCAAATCCTGATTGGCAGCCCACAGATTCTGCAGCACCCGTACTTCCCCCATTCACTGCTCAACCCAGAATTCAGGAGGAAAAAGCTAATTTAAATACTCCCCTTGATTTTATGGAGCTGTTTTTCACAGAAGATTTGTACAATTTGATTGTGGGCCAAAGCAAATTATATGCTCAACAATATATTGCCGCCAACCCAAATTCAAACCTTGCTAGACCACTTGCATGGAAACCTATTACAGTTTCCAAATTTAAAACTATTTTGGGCCTAACCCTGAACATGGGCATTACAAAAAAAGAATGAGTTGCGGTCGTATTGGTCCACAAATCCGATTCATCATACGTCCATGTTCTCTGCTGCCATGGCCAGTCATAGATATGAAATGATAACACACTCTGTCATCCTCGGGGTGACGCTGAACATGACAGGCTCTACAAAATTCGATCCCTCAAACCACCTCACTGAGAAATTTGCAGATGTGTATAAGCCCCAGCAAAACATCTGCGTGGATGAGTCCCTCATTCACTTTACTGGCCAACTTGCATTCAAACAGTACATCCCCAGCAACCGTGCCAGATATGGGGTCAAATTGTATAAACTCTGTGAGAGGGCCACAGGCTATACCTACAAATTTAGGGTTTATAGGGAAAATACAGTGAAGTACTGCCCAGACTACATGGGGAGCAGTGGCAAGATGGTTTGGGACTTGGTGTTGTCTTTGTTCCGTAAGGGGTACCACTTATACGTGGACAATTTGTATACAAGCGTGCCAGTATTTAGACATCTGTACAATCTTGGAATTGGCTCATGTGGTACCGTGCGTCCTAATCGCCGGGGCTTCCCTAACGGCTTGTAAATACCCAACTTAGGGTGAGAAAGCCTGCTTGAGGAATGATGAATTGCTTGCAGTGAAGTGGAAGGAAAAAATGGGATGTTTTCGTCCTGTCTTCCATTCACGCAGACATGGCAGTCCAAATTAACACAGTGTCTGGCGTTGTTGAGAAACCCCTCTGTGTCCACATCTATAACCTTAACATGAGAGGGGTGGACTTCAATGACCAAATGATAAATCCGTACCTAGTTTCCTGGAAAGTTCAACACTGGTACAAAAAGGTGTGTATTTATTTATTTCAATTGGCTATATATATAATGCTTTTGTAATTTATAAAGCAACTAAACGAAGTGGATCCTTCCTAAAATTTCAGGAAGAGATCATCACGGCCCTTTTGTATCCAGAAGGTGCTGTAGCCCAATCCTCAAATCCAGATGCAGTTAGGCGGCTGCATGAGAGGCATTTTCCGGATGTCCTCTCTTGTACCCCAACCCAAAGGTCACCCCAAAGATGATGTCATGTCTGTAGCAAACACTGACTAAGATGCAACACCCGCTTTTTTTGTCCCTCTTGTCCTGGCCAACCTGGTCTCTGCCTCAAGGACTGCTTCCATCGCTACCATACACTAGTGGAGTATTAGTATAGGGCACAGCACGGCACAGTTCAGGGCACATATTCATCATCCTCACAAAGGGTCTCAAAGGATGTTAGTCAGGAAACTGTCCATCACATTTTGAGAGACCCAAAACTCAGAGGTTGTTACAAAAAAAGTTTTAAAAAATAATAAAATAAAGTAAAAAAAAAAAAAAAAATTTAAATTTAAAGAAAAGTTGTTTTCATTGAGTTTTATTCAGTTGAATTCTATTGTTACTTTGTTTTATTGTTAACTGTTTGCTTTACAGGAACACCATTCACATGTTGGTTTATTGAGTTAATGTTCTATTGTTACTTTGTTTTATTGTTAACCATTGTTTGTTTTGCAGGAACACCATTCAGCTGCAGCACTGAACTGTTTATTCTGCCAGCAACAGGGTCTTGCTCTCAGAATATACATCTGCTCCCACTCCCGGCTCAGTTCGCTGTGGCGAAATGAACCGGAAGATCGGCCTCCTTCTCCCTCCCGCAGTCTCCTGGGAACATCCACAGGTCCCAGAAGACTACCGGGCCAATTAGGAAGCATAGCACGACTCGCGCATGCGCAGTGGGCACCAGGCTGTGAAGCTTCAAGCTGTCACAGCCTGGTGAACACAGTTGAGATGCCGGCACCATGGAGGAAAGTAGGTGTGTGCAGTGCTGTTAGATGAGATTTTTCATCCGCAGTTAAAAAAGAGCATATATGCCGAAGCATGGGGGCCTGGGGTGGCCAGTGGGTGGATGGCCCCTATGCTTCGGCATATATATTTTATAATATTTGTTGGCACATTTCATGTGTGCCCACAATTAGGAGTGGATCCACGGCGGTATATTCTAATGGTGGGCATACCAAACACTTTTTTGTCACAGGCTGCATACAAAAAAAAGAACATAGCATATACACCCAACAAGGACCAGCTACTAGTACATCACTGGACTTTGAGTGGTTATACCAGGATGATGCCTGCAGCTGCAAGCATCATCCTGGTGTCCGTTTTATTCAGCCGGCGATCGGCTTTCATGTACAAGCAATCCTAGTGGCTAATTAGCTGCAGGATTGCTTTTACAAGCAGTGGTAGAATATGCTCTCCCTCCCCCGCTGCCTTCCACTGTCTTCTTGGGCAGTCCCGTGCCATCGGGGGAACCTGAGAATGCAGCCGGTGTTTCTGCCAGCTGACCATAGAGCTGATTGGAGACCGGAATGATGCCAATCATCTCTATAGTCTAAGAAATCAGAAGCTACGAGCATTTCATCAATTCAATTTCGCAGGATATAAAAGCACCATTTGTAAATTGATAAAGCATCTGATCACACCGATCTTGGTGACATTAGATAATGTAAGGGCAGAGGAGATATCTAGAGTCTGACAGACCCAAGATTTCTCAAAAAAGAATATATGACACTTTGCATTCCCTGTGATAGCATTAAAAGTGATAAAAAAAAATGAAAAGAGACAGTGTCAAAATAATTAAAAAAACAGAATAACTTAAAAAAAAAAAAAAGTACCCTCACTTCCCCTTCCCCCCCGCGCGCACCTGCATGCGCAAGCATTGACCCCGTGCCAGTATGTAAACAGCGGTTGCACCATGCATGTGAGGTATCACCGCGAACGTCAGATCAAGGGCAGTAATTCTAGCACTAGACCTCCTCTGTAAATGTAAAATGGTAGCTTGTAAAGGCTTTTAAATCATTGCCTATGGATATTAAAAATGTATGCAATTTGTCACCATTGCATGGGGCATGCGCAGATTTAAAGCATGTCATGTTTGGTATCTATTTACTCGGCATACTATCATATTTTATACTTTACCAAATAATTGGCCAATATATTGTGTTTTTGAGCATTAAAAGTAAAAAAATATATATTTTTTTTAAAATTTGTGTTTGAAAAATCACTGCACGAGTACTCTGTTACATAAAAAATTGCAGCACCCACCACTTTATTCACTAGGATGTCTGCTTTAAAAAATATATAATTTTGGGGGTTCAAAGTAATTTCCTAGCAAAAAGTACTGATTTTTTTCATGTGAACACAAAGACTTGGTCTTCAGGTGGTTAGAAGAGTGAATGATGTGTGGCATAAACTTCTAATGCCCCCACCCCCCAAAACGACCCCTTTTTGGAAAGTAGACACCCCAAACTATTTGCTGAGAGGCATGTTGAGTCAATAGAAGAATTTATTTTGTTACCTTGTTACAAGTTTTTAGAAAATTACCATTTTATTTTCTTTACACAAAATTGTCACTTAAATGATAAATTGCTCACACATGTCATGGGTATATGTGGAATTACTCCCCAAAATACATTGTACTACTTCTCCTGAGTATGGGGGTACCACATGTGAGAGACATTTTGGCAGTCTAGCCAAGTACAGGACCCCAAAATCCAATAAGCACCTTCGGGCTTTTAAAACGCTTTATTTCCTCATTACACTTCCAGACTATCTATCATAGTTTGGGAGGCCTTGAAATGCCAGGACAGCACTAAATCAACCAATACCAATAGTAGGACCCTCCCCCCCCCCCTCAAGTAGACACCCCAAGGAATTTGATAAGAAGCATGGTGGGTATTTTGCAGATCTCGTTTGTTGCCACAAGCTTTTGGAAAATGAAGAAAGAAAACAAAAACATCTTGTTTCTTTTCTTTTTTTGTATATTTCAAAACCTTGTGAGAAAAAATGAGATCTGCAAAATACTCACCATGCCTCTTTTTAAATTCCTTGGGGTGTCTACTTTCCAAAAAGGGTTGATTGGGGGGGGTGCTATCCTGGCATTTCAGGGCCTCCAAAACTGATAGTTAGTGAGAAAGTGAAATGAGGAAGTTACGCACCCTCAGGCTTTCAAAGTGGTCATTGGATTTCAGGCTCCTGTATGTGGCTAGGCTCCCAAAAAAGTCTCACACAGGCGGTATCCCCATACTCGGTAGAAGTAGCAGAATGTGTTTTGGGGTGTAATTCCACATATACCCATGGCTTGTGTGAGCAATATATCTTTTAAGTGACAGCTTTGTGTAAAAAAACAAAAAAAAAAATGTTTGTCTCACAAAAACTTGTGAAAAAAAATAAATTCTCCATGGACTCAATATGCCTCTCAGCAGATAGCTTAGGGTGTCTACTTTCTGAAAAGGGGTCATTTGGGGGGTGTTTGTACTATCCTGGTATTTTAGCACTTCATGAAATGTGATAGGCAGTCAGAAAGTAAAAGCTGTGTAAATTACAGTATCTATACCATAGGTTGTAGATGCTATAACTTTCACACAAAGCAATCAAAATACACAAATTGGGA